TCATTATTCCATTCATCAAAAAGTCCTGAAACTAAGTATCATAGAATGTATCATAGAATTACATTAAAAAAATAAGCAGCAAACACTTCCCAGCAAAAATAAAAAGAACCGTTATTAATGATTAACTGTCTGTAATAATTAAGCACCAAATCGGCATATTAGAATGATTTCTGAAGGGTCACATCAGACTTGAGTAATTATTCAGCTTTTCCTCACAGAAATTGGATTAAAATATATGTTAAAATTGAAAATTGTCATTTTTAAGTATACTAACATTTGACAATAGTGCTGTTTTTACTTTTAAAAGCAAAAACATATATAAATAAATAAATATTTCCAATTTGAAACTTTTTTTAGGGTGAATATACACAATTACAGGAATATCTTCCACACTCTGCTTCTTATCTGAAAGAGAAAAATGGCTGAATACAAGAATTGTCCAAGATGCTAGTTTCACTCTTTCTTCAGGCCATAGCATGATCTTAAATGGCTTTCACACTGGACAAGGAAAGGTCTGCATTATGATACCCATTTATTTCAATAGTTACTTACAATTAAAGTCAAAATGATTTTCCCATTATTTGAATTTTTGTCTTTCTTTTTTTAAATACTTCCCAAATGATCTTTAACAGAGCAAGGAGTTTTTTACAGTATTTTCTATAAAAAAATTTCTGGAGAAAATATCGGCTGAAATTAAATTTCGGCTGAAATTGAAGCAATTAACTTGCCTAATTAATCTAGTTAAACCTTTAATTGTCACTTTAAACTGAATACTAGTATGTTATATCTAAACTATCTAATATCTTATCTGCATATTAAGTGCTGTCATCATGGCAAATATAAAAGAAATCAGTTATTAGAAATGAGTTATTAAAACTCCTATGTTTAGAAATGTGTTGAGAAAAATCTGAAATTAAACTGAAATTGGGGGAAAAATATACAGGGGGTTAATAATTCAGGAAGGTTAAACTTCTGACTTAAACTGTAATTACAAATAAATTTCGGCTCAGAATAAAAATTGTTGCATCATTTTACAGGGCATCTGTTATGTTGACTTTTTCTTCTATTTTCATTTTTGTAATGAAGCTATTGCAATATTTTTAATTTAAAAAGACTTGAGTATTTGACCACAAGCCACTGTGGCTAGCAGTTTTCCAACATTACTAGCCGCTCACCATTTTTACTAGCCACAATTTTGTTGTTGGGAAAATATATGTCATATGCAAAAATTTGACTTTGGCATGAATAAATGTGACTTTATTTAACCTCCTGTTGTTTTTAATAGGTGTTTTTTTATTTCTCTTTGCTATTTGGGCTTATTGAAACCTAGTTAGAATAAAAGCTAGTATCATCTTTCGATACGTATCATCTTTCGATATGATGTACTTTTAGAGAAAAATTATGTCCATATATGTGGACTCATGGTCCGAATTTACATAAAACTCTTTTTCCTTACTGTTTTGTAATGCATATATAACATATACATTTTTTTTACTTGCTTTGACTATCAGAGAGTAAAAACTCTCCCATTATCCCCAATTTGGACAGTTAAAAATTGTGTTTGGGACATTTCATATGCTGCAAAACAGTTGCAGCATGACACTGTATGTCTTTAACAAAATATAAAACATTCAAAGTATTTTAAATAGCCACTTGAGGGCTCAAATGTGCTCTCCACGCATGTGGCCACTAAAGCCTGGAAAGGTTAAATTGTGTGTTATGTCCACAAGTTTTTTGTGTATTGTGACCTTGCTCAGTGAGCATGAGCATATGGGTTGTAGTTTCATTGTGTCGAATTACAATTGTTTTTATTTCACATGACTTTTTAGGGCTCAACATTAAGGATTTATCTTTTGTTCTCTGGCCACACCAAACTAATTATTTCCTTGATACAAAGTTTAAATAATGCATCAAAACATAACTTTTTATATAACAAAAAATATTCATTAAAAACTATTCTTATGTGTCTAAAACTATAAACAGCCATCTATCCAGGCTAAAGGTCCCAGATCACCAGTTAACTATAGTGAAATGGAGAGTTAATCTCCTAATAAACAGAAGAAATGGGAGCTTTTTAAGCACAGATGATGTGATTCACACAAGTCCTTAAAGGCTCCCGGTGTCCGTTTCCTTGCATGAAGCAACAGGGTAACACTTTATTTTGATGGTCCATTTGAGATTGATACTGCTCCTTCAACAAACATTTAACTGACTATAAGCAACTTTGCAACTACATGTCAATTTACACTAACCCTAATTGCAAATCTAACCCCAACCTAAAAGTCTACTTCTAATCCAATGAAAATTACTTTCAATGTAACTTAAACTCAACAAACAGACCACCAAAATAAAGTGTGACTGTGGTGAGGGGGCGTGGCCGAGAGCCGTGGGAACGGGGTGAGGCCACCGCGTAAGTGGATACACCTGCGGTGCGCACCTGCCTCGGATCCCACGGAAGGAGCTCTGGACCATAAAAGGAGGACCGATGGCAGAGGAAGGCGAGAGAGGACCGGGCCCGGGCATATTGTTTTACTTTTGCTTTCAGTTTGACGGCAGTCTCTGTGAGGAGCTGCCATCTGTTTGTTTTGGTTTAGACGGCATTCTCCGTGAGGAGCTGCCGTCATTGTTATTAATAAATATTTTAAACCTGCGTCGGTTCTCCGCCTCCTTCTTCCCGGCGGCCAAAGGGCCGTAGACTTCATTACAGTGACCAGCAACCCTGTCTGAAAACACAACTGGAGCATTCATTTCTCTTTAAAATAGAGTGGAAAAAGTGGTGCTCATGCATGCACCATCCTGCTACTTTACAATATCGTCAGTGCGCGATGATTTCCTGTGTCTGACTGTGCGCCTGATCATCCTCTTATTCAGTATTCACATGCTTTCTTTTGCTCTTGTGAACAGTTATCAATCGTGCTACTTCTCGATTCTTAGATCACGTTTGCGCTCTTAATGACAAATGGTCTTAAACTTAAATCCTAATCTTTAGAGATGAGCTAGCTCTGCCAATTGAAAAATTATGTTCAACGTGCCAAAGTGGCTAGTGGAGGTGTCTGTCTAACCCACCACAGGTGAAATCTACCCGCATTTGGAGGTTTGGCAGGTGTTAATGTCAAGCCCTGGTTATAGTGCATCTACAACACAGGTGTCAAACTCAGTTCCAAAAGGGCCGCAGCTCTGCACAGTTTAGTTCCAACCCTAATTAAACACACCTGATCAAACGAATTGAGTTCTTCAGGCTTGTTTGAAACCTACAGGTAAGTGTGTTGGAGCAGGGTTGGAACTAAACTGTGCAGGTCTTCGGCCCTCCAGGAATTGAGTTTGACAACCCTGATCTATAATGTGAACTTATTGTTTTTGTTTTTCCTCCAGCTATATGATGAAGCCGAAGCGGTGTTGACTAAACCATCAGTGGAGGACGCAGAGTCTTGATGCCTCCCTCAGCTTCCTGAACACTTCACTGCCTCCATCATCATCATCATCATCATCATCATCATCCTCATCTTCTCCCGTTCAACACAGAGACACATGAATAAGTGGAGATAGAGGACAGATGGAGGAGAGGAAGTAAACGCTTGCAGGAAAACTTCAGATGGAGCAGTTTACCAAATAAGGTCATCAGACTGTGAAACAGGTGAACTTCAGACGGTCTGATCTGAGCGTGCACAACAAACAAACTATTTCACGAGAGAGGAAAAATGAAATGCTGTTTACACTTTAAGATTTCCAGATGCACAGATTAGCTGAACACTTCTCTGCACTGGTGTGTGTGTGTGTGTGTGTGTGTGTGTGTGCGTGTGTGTGTGTGTGCGTGCGTGCGTGCGTGCGTGCGTGCGTGCGTGCGTGCGTGCGTGCGTGCGTGCGTGCGTGCGTGCGTGCGTGCGTGCGTGCGTGTACAAAATTCCCAATATTTTACAAACATTAACACTACAAACAGATGTGCCACTGCAAATGATTTCACTATGAAATGTAGGACTTCCTGAAGTTTGAACGGGCAAAACAATCGTGGATGGCATTTGTGCTATTTATTTGTTTTTGTATGCGTGGTTGAATTAATTTTTTTGTGACCTCCAGACAATCAGATTTCTGTGTTTGGGGGGACATGCAAACATTAGCATCTATTGCTGGAAATGTATTAAAACACACAATCGAGCACTGATACACATATCACTGAGCTTCTTTGATTGGTAATAGTGTGGATTTTTTTACAAATGCTAGGGTGAATCTGATGAATTAGCATAATATCAAGTATAGGTCACTTTATTATTACAATGAAGCCAAATTCTCTTTGATTATCATCATGTTTTTATCATCAGATTTTGAAATTAAAGGGATAGTTCACCCAAAAATGAAGATTTACGCACTATTTACTCTCCCTCAAATATTTATGGGTTTCTTTCCTCTGTTACTAAAGACGATATGTTGAATAAAACCGATAACCACTGACTTTTATAAGAGGAAGAACAAATACAGGTTACAGGTTTCCAACATTCTTCAAAGTATCTTTTTTGTCTTCAACAGAATAAAGAAACTCAAGCAGAACAAGTAAATGATGAGAGAATGTTCAGTTTTGTGTGAACTGTCTCTTTAAATGGGACCTGGATGCACGAAACTTAGGACAAACAGTGGTTGGTATATCTCTGTGTAAAAAGTTTACAGATGTAGAAATTAGATGTATAAACTATACTCATTCGTCCATGTGATCTGATCTGATGACGGGACATTGATGATGAGTTTTGCAGGAAATTAAAGCGGATAAACATAATCATGCATGGGTTAGTTTTATTGACACGTTTACTAAAAGGGATCATCAAGAACCTTTGATGGAATATTCTCAGTTTAATATTGTGCTGCTCACCAAATCTTTGGCTTGATGTTGATTACAACAGAAAAAGATTTAATTTTTCAATACAATTTTTCAATACAAGTAAATATTTCATTTTTAGGACAATTATAGTAATTTCAAGCTAATTTCCAATACACTGTAAAAAGCAATTAGTTACTGTACTTAAAATATGCAGTGAGTAAACCTACTACCTTAAAAGTGAAGTTGGCTTTACTTAAAGGTAATAAACCCATTGTAACTTGGAAATGTTAAGTTGACTTAATTTAACTTTTGGATTAATGTCAAAAATTATTCATCTTTTTTTTACCCATTTTCCCTTTATTATCAAATTAAAGTCAACTTGTCATTTTAAAAACATCAGGTTTACTCACTTTTTCAATGTAAAATCAACTAACTACTTAAAAACATTAGGTTTACTCACAGTTTCAAAGTAAAATCAATTAATTGCATTAAAAACACCAGATGCACCAATTTTGTTTCTAAATTAAAGTCAACTAATCGCTTTAAAACATCCGATTTACCCACTGTTTTAATGTAAAATCAACTAATCAGTTTTAAAAACATCACATTTATTCACTGTTTCAAAGTGAAGTCAACTAATCGCTTTAAAAACCCAGATTTACCAATTTTGTTTCTAAAGTTAACTAATTGCTTTAAAACATCCGATTTACCCACTGTTTTGAAGTAAAGTCTAATAATCAGTTTTAAAAACATCACAATTTTCTCACTGTTTCAAAGTAAAGTCAACTAATCGCTTTAAAAACATCCGATTTAATCACTTTTTCAATGTTAAGTCAATTAATAACTTTTAAAAACATCAGATTTATTTAATTTTTCCAAAGTAGTCAACTAATCACTTTTAAAACATCAGATTTACCCATATTTTGAAAGTCAATTAAAAACTTTTTTAAAAACATCAGATTTACTCACTGGTTTAAAGTAAAGTCAAAAAATCTCTTTGAAAAAGTGAGTACACCTGATGTTTTTAATGTAAAGTCAACTGATAACTTTTATTCATTTTTTCCCAAAGTAAAGTCAACTAATTACGTTAAAAACGTCAGGTTTACTCAAATTTTCAAATTAAAGTCAACTAATTACTTTAAAATCATGGTTTATTCATAGTTTCTAAATTAAAGTCAACTAATCACACTAAAAACCCCAGATTTACTAATTTTGTTTCAAAATTAAAGTCAACTAATCACATTAAATCATCAGATTTACCCTTTTTTTCAAATTAAAGTCAAATAATCACTTTTAAAAACATCACAATTATTCACTGTTTCAAAGTAAAATCAAGTAATCGCTTTTAAAATATCAGGTTTACTCACTATTACTATGTGAAGTCAACTAATAACTTTTAAAAACATCAGATTTACTTAATTTTTCCCAATTAAATTCAAATAATTTCTTTAAAAACATCAGATTTATCCATATTTTGAAAGTAAAGTCAGCTAATAACTTTTGAAAACATAAGGTTTACTCACTGTTTAAAAGTCAGCTAATTGCTTAAAAACATCAGATTCACAGTTTTAAAGTAATGTCAACTAATTCCTTTAAAAACATCACATTTACTCACCGATTTAAAGTGAAGTCAAATAATCGCTTTAAAAACATCAGATATATCCACGTTTTCCAAATTAAAGTCAACTAATTGCTTTAAAACATCAGATTTACTCACTTTTTTAAAGTAAAGTAAAACTAATCGCTTTAAAACATCAGATTTATTCACTTTTTTAAAGTAAAGTAAAACTAATCGCTTTAAAAGCATCAGATTTACTCACTTTTTAAAGTAAAGTAAAACTAATCGCTTTAAAACATCAGATTTACTCACTTTTTTAAAGTAAAGTAAAACTAATCGCTTTAAAACATCAGATTTACTCACTTTTTAAAGTAAAACTAATCGCTTTAAAAGCATCAGATTTACCAATTTTTTTCCAAATTAAAGTCAACTAATCGCTTTAAAACATCAGATTTACTCACTTTTTTAAAATAAAGTAAAACTAATCGCTTTAAAACATCAGATTTACTCACTTTTTTAAAGTAAAGTAAAACTAATCGCTTTAAAACATCAGATTTACTCACTTTTTTAAAGTAAAGTAAAACTAATCGCTTTAAAACATCAGATTTATTCACTTTTTTTAAAATAAAGTAAAACTAATCGCTTTAAAAGCATCAGATTTACCAATTTTTTTCCAAATTAAAGTCAACTAATTGCTTTAAAAAGTCAATTAATGATTGTAAAGCAAAAAAGAAAAATGATCCCTCACAGTATTATTAATTTTTGCAGAGCAATGAAAATTATTTGAGATTAACAAGAATTACAAAAGGATTTAATACTTTCGGGAATAAAAATGAGATTATTGTAGTGACAATATTATTACAATGTGAATATTAATATACATAGTTATTACTGAAGACAGACTTAATTGCCTTGATTTAAAATAGATCATTTTTGTTTATGTATTTTTGTTTTATCCAAAATCGCATAGTTTTCATGATGTGTAAAAAATCTGTTTTTACAGACTTTAAAAGGAATTCAGTTTCTTTCAGGAAGCAAAATGTGCTTAAAAATAAATCAATAAATAAATAAATAAGTGTGCAAAAAAAGTAATAATAACGTGCACCACTTAAATAACAGTCTTAATTTCTTAATGCATAATACTGTATACTTAATGATTTCTGTTGTAACCAATGACATGTTCCTCTTGGTGATATATATCTAATGTTGAACCTGAAGTGTTTCTTTTAAGCTGCCAAAGCACTTTGTAGTGTTTCCCTTCACCTTTTTAAATCCATTAATTCCCAGTGTGTTCCTTAACCATGCACCTGCTTTATCAAGCCAAACCCGCACTGAAACATTTCACATGAAAACACTGGCACAGATCGTCTCAAATATCACTATCATGGAGTCTGGTAGTAAAGCCGCAGTTTTTACATGTGTGTTTTTGTATTGATGTTCTGGACGTGTTCCTGATGTTCACACGAAGCACTGATCCGTCTCTCCTGTTCTCCCAAGATGATGTTTTAGATTTGCATGATGAATCGACACAGATTCAGTTTTGTATTTATTAACTGCAGGATGTTTTTTTGTTGTTGTTTATTGATTGGCTGAAGAGAAAACGTGCCGCGGCTTTGACTTGCGCCTGTGCTGCGGATCTGTACAAAATAGGGTAAAAGAAATGAAAAAAATATATATTTATATTTTTCCTAAACGATGACGTTGCAAGAGACGGTGTAATTTAAAAACGTTGTTTTTGTTTTGTTTTGCCCGATTCGTGTTTTCCCTTGTAAAGTGTGTACAGTGTGTTTTTGGGCACTTTCAGCTCTGGAAAAAAATCTTACAGTCTTATCAAAGGGATAAATATATATTATTAAAGAAGAAAACTCATGCTGTGCATTTGTGCTGTTTGAGTGCATGTGGGGGAATATTATCTTATTTTTCCTAAGGTTTACCTTTTATTAACTTTACGTCTTTCACTGCAGGAAAAACAGCACTTTTTGTCATGTTTCTTTCATATTTAAAATTCATTTTTGTCCGTCTAATTGAAAGAAAACATCCAAAATACACATTTAAGGATTTTTGTTGACACTTTTGTTAATTTATGTCAGTAGATTTTAATTACTACGTATATTTTTAAAGGCTGTTTACGTATATAAATTATAGAGTATTTCAGAAACTGCTGATCTACTGGAATTGTCATGCACATCCATCTCTAGGGTTTACAGAGAATGGTCTGAAAAAGAAAATATCCAGTGAGTGGCAGTTCTGTGAGCGCAAATGCCTTGCTGATGCCAGGGGTCCGTTCTTCGTACGTGGATTACTCAGTAAGCTGGATTTGGATATTGACGAGTTGACACAATCCAGGATCGTTTCGTTCTTCAAAGCTGATCTGCTAGGTCAAACCTGATCGGGAGCAGGTTCAATTCATTTCAACAGTATTAGATCGGCTTAGTTCAAGAAAAGATAATAAAGTATGTTCCGAATTCTGATATTTTCTTACAGTAGTAGTTATATACACTTGGGAAAATGGTACATATTTTTTAACTATATATATAAAGTTACAGTCATTAATAAAATAAATAAAGTTATACATATTAATAAAACTTATGCAATCTGCACCCTCGAAATGAAAGTACAAAGACTGCCACCTGGTGGTGCAAAGAGAAAACTTATTGATATGAACTTTTTAGATCGCTTTAGTACAAATTGTGTATAATAGAAATGCACAATATGTGACTTTTTTTAAAGCAATAATACATTTATGCAGTCATAAACATGTTTTGATAGTTAATAGTGATTTGATGCTTCACAAAAGTTGCAGACGTCTTTACCAATATCAAAATGCTTTTGTAAACAACCAGTTATTCTTTACACCGATTAAAAAATGGCTGCTGTAATAAAGACAATATTTTCTAAATGTAGAACTAAATACACTGATATGCACTGAAATACATGATGAATACTCTTGAAACATGAAAGTGTAAAGCCTGCAGCTCATAACAAATGTGTGATCTTACTGCGTGTCATATTTAACAAAGCGTTTACTGCTAATTTGATGTAATTTTGCTCACATGGATAAATGAATATTAATCAGATGATGTCATTACGTTGCTGTGTCGTCAGCCAATCGTTGCATTGCTGATCATGATTTCGAGGATCGATAGATCTGTCCTTTACAACACACGCAGCGATCTCAGATCAGTTTATCCAGACATTCTAATCTGATTCGCGAACTTGTTTGAAGAACCAAATTAGCCAGAGATCAGTTATCAAGACTAAAAGATCCAGGATCTGCCAAATCATCTTAGATCATTTAAGCGAGGTACGAAGAACGAACCCCAGAGGTCAGAGGAGAATGGCCAGACTGGTTGCAGCTGATAAAGGCAACAGTGACTCAAATAACCACTCGTTAGAACAGAAGTCTGCAGAAGAGCATCTCTGAACACACAACACGTCCAACCTTGAGGCAGATGGGCTACAGCAGCAGAAGACCACATCAGAAACTGAGGCTACAATTCCCACAGACTCACCAAAATTAGACAATAGAAGTTTGGAAAAACTTTACCTGGTCTGAAAAGTCTCCATTTCTGCAGTGAAATTTGGATGGTAGGGTCAGAATTTGGCGTCAACAGCATTAAAGCATGGGTCCATTC